GATCCAGATTATGTATATTTTATTTTTAAGGTTTTGATGTAAACGTCGAATAGAAGCAGATTTTATGAATAACCACATGAAGACACTGAAAACGATGAAAATCATGCCACATTATATTGGACGATATTCAATAAGTAGTTATCCACTTATGGTAATATGTACAAATATTTGACTTAAGAAAAGTTCTTTTTATATAAAGAAATTGGTTACACTCCGTTTTCAAGTTACGAAAAGATTTAAATATATTGTTCTAATTTATAGCTATTCTTGCGTCTCTGGAACTTGGTCATTATCGGGAAAATTTTATTTTTCTTAACAAACACTTAGTATTTCTTATAGTTCTTTTAAGTACTTAATATGCCTAATGCTGTTCATTATTATTTCTAAGTTTTCGTGAATGCGATCACGCCGGTATGCGAGTAATGATTAAATTTTTACAAACTCAGGCATGTTGCATGCAGCATTCGCAGCACTGTATTTGCTATCGTCGACCCACCTAGGGACCCTAGAACGGACGAAAATTTAACCGATCTGACCAGCCATTTCCAGAGTATGTTTATGGGTCTATCTAAACCATGAAGTTCGTTGGAACGAGAACATTTGTATTGCTTTAGATATAAGGCTTCCATAGGCTTCTTTCACAATATGAGCGTGAATAATGAACTTTTAAATAGGTCTTTTGTAAATACTAATTTGTCGCCTGTAAAAGTAGAATAACCATGACAGCATTACTATACTGTTTTAGCAGTACCTTATGTTGGTGGTATTGTTCGGCCTAACTAAAAAGGCTATGGGTGGAGTGCAGACCATTGGAATGTGTGAATGGACGCTGAGACCGCGTTGTATGCGCAAAAATATTGATTATCAACTTCAGCGTTCTTTTATAATTGCTGTAACACTTTGGTTGACATTTAGTGTAAGTGCGCCAACCTGAATTGATTATTCCTTTTTGTGCCTTTAGTTTCTGTCGCCATGCGGTTGAATGAAACTAAAACTATTTTTACAAGATAGGTAGTCTGTTAGGTAGTCTGCAATATACGCTGACCCTGAACGGATGAAAAACAGTTAGAAATGCTGAACCTGTACAGAAAAAATAACTCGGCATGCAGAAATTCCCTTAATATTTACTTGTTATTGCGGAGCGCACCCGACTCTATTACTGGAGACAGTAGTATCCAAATACGTCTTACCTTCAAGTGTGCACTGACAATGTGATGAGTGCTACCAATTGTGAATTTTTCTTAATTGGCTACTTATTTGATTTAGGTAGGCATGCAATGTTGCGAGTTCAAATCCGTTCAGTCGATCTACAGGTCACTGGAACGTCATAGTTCAGTTTCTGGGGTTAGAACTACGAGTATGACGTTAGAGACAAGAATTTGGAGGAGAGGCCGGGGATATAGAGGTACTATATTAGGGTATTCCATCGTTCAAATTATTTTAGGACTGCTGTTTGGGGTGAGCCCAACGTTTGAGTTTAGTGTTAGGGTATTGCGTACGGTTTAATTTATGGGATTGGGGTTTGCATATATTATTTCAGTTTGCGGGCATAGTGCGGCTTGGGTCCCGTTCGGTCGTCCTTCGAACTAATCTAAACGTAAGGTTTGATTTTGGGTTAAGCTAAGAATTAGATTTCCAATAAGATTTCGGTTTCTGGTTAGCGTTTGGAAAAGGCCCCTTCCGGGCTGATAGGACCAACTGTATGGAAAAACCGTCCACATAGAAGTAACAATAGAGGATTTGCCGTCTAAGAAATATCTTCAAAGTTTTCGGTGAACTTTACAAAAGGACACAAATAGACTTGTGCTGATTTATATGATTCACTCATAAGACCCTGAATGCTCCCCCTGTCTCCTTATAACCTACCGCCAAGGCCAAATTAAGACGATCAGAAATGGGTGAAAGGATCAGATTTAAAAAATGGTCACGCTTAATTCCAACCACCTGGCTTCTGAGTCCACACGAACAAAGTTCCTATTGAGGAACGTAAGGGCTAGGTGCCAGTTTGGTGAGCCCCAATCCATGTTTGGCGCCAGTGAGGCGATTTCGTGCGCATCTGACAATTTGACCGTGCTTGTGACGATGTCCGTCGTGTGCCGCACAGCACTATGGGCCAGGAAGATAACTTGGGCGTGAATTCGTCCATAGTGGAACTGACTTTCGACTCATCTACCGCAACCGCACCTCCCTCACTCCTCAGGGCCTGACGTCAAAGTAGAGTCAGTAGGACCAGTGGCGCAGTGGCTGAAAAAGTTTTAAAAAACGTGCACGCGTGCCACACAACCTGTTCCCCGAGAAGTTATCAGGTTTTCACATAAAGAAACGGACGACTCCGATCTCACTTTCGTGAGTTACATAGGAATCATCATCTGGCCCTTAATCCTCGCGTCACTTACCTCACATAAACACACAGTACTGACCAAAAGAGCCGCATTACCCAGTCAGTTGACAGCCTCCCATGCCACGATTTTTAACGCAAGTGCGCCAGATATATGACACTGAAAAAAATGTGCTGAAATGGCGCGCGGTGAATTACCCAGAGTTGACCTCACGCTTTCTTTCGTCTCTTCATAAAACGCCTATCATACGCAAGGAAGGAAGAAGGTAAGGGCATCTGCGGACTCAGTACGACCCAAGAAACATATAACGTAAACTCATTTGGGGCCTAATTTGTGTCTAAAGCAGAAGTGGCGCAAGTGGTTCTCAGGGCAAAAACTTGAAAGTATATCGGGACTGTTACGTAGCTACCGCTTACCAATATCCATTAAATGACAGTCAGTTCTGAAGCACACGCTTGATCATAACACGTTCTCATGTTAGTTGGATTAGTTGCAATAAATGAATGCGGACGGATCCTGGATGCTTAGAAATGAACACAAACCTATGAATCAAGAATATAATCACAAAAAGGCAGGAAAATGTCAGACGACGAGTTTTTAGATCAAATAAAACAAGCATACAATAAAAGTTCAATACACATTTCTGAAGATCAGAGCAGGACAACTTCCGAAAACTGGGCAATTCTGAGATTTAGATAACCGCGTCGCCTCTTGTTTACCATAGATCGATAAAACCCAATGGAATATAAATTACTTTCATAGGCTTTTGTATTTAATTCGACGCAATACTTCACAACCATTCTGCCCATTTTGCCTAAAAACCACCCTGGTCCAGATTGTAGCTACCAGTCATCCCTCGCAGCAAGTAAACTGCCATGCCGTTAAATAATTTGAATTCAGGTACGAGCAAAATCCCACTCAAGTCATTCTAGTTTCGAAAAAGCATACACACATAGTAAAGAGGTCGTATATACACAGAAAGCTTACAAAATAGACTGGAACATGGGAGAACTCCTGCTGGGATCAAAAGTGCTCGCATGGGCAAAGTTTTCTACTTAATCAGCGAGCACTGTACATTCAGACCGAACATCGCTGAAGGGAGGCATCAATTCGGAATTAGACGAGGCGTTGCCGCGCAATATCGCTGCAGCTCGAGCCCGGGAAAGGAGATCGTGCAAACCGAAAAACCAGTCGTTGAGGACTGTCATATTCGGATCGACACTATGGTCCGGCAGCGTAAGATCGATGGATGCACGAAGATCCGTCACCATGACAGTAAGGAGCTCGATCTGATCACGACGCAGGCTGCTCACGTCTGTCAGATGAGGTTTGATGAGCATGAGAAGGTGTAACTGAAAG